CTTGAACGGTCTTCACAGAAATTGCTGATGACTGGGGTTTCCCCGAGTCATCATCTGTCGTCCTACTTTCCGTACCCTGATCCCGCCTTGCAACTTCCGCTTACCTGGACGTCTCTGAGAGCCTCCGTCGAATTCTGCCCCGATCGCCATCCTCACGTTCGTTTCGCCGAAGATAAATCAGAAAGAGCCAACAATTCCGAAGGCGAGGATAGGCCAACCGACCTGATAAAGAACCGTGGCGGATTAACTTGGGGAACGCCATGCAGTCTCCTGTCTGGAAATGAGAAGATTAAGATCTACGACGCTGTAATCGTACGTCTCGTTTTGTATGCGGATGACACTATCAAGGGCATTGAACAAGTCCTCAGTGTCGCATTACGTCAGGCCTCAATTGATCTTGTCGCATTTGTAAAAGTTTTGCGGCTGACTGGTCTGACGCCGTCACATGTGACCCCGTGGACCAAGCAGCACGTGTCGGCTGCCTGAGAAGCTCGTCTGAATAATATTTAAAGAATCCAGTCCGTACCGCGAAGAAAACACTTCACTTCACCGTTACAAAGATCAACTGGTTAACGCTGTTTACGGAGATAATCGCTGTTTATAATGAGAATCACACGAAACCCGGGTATCTAAATAATATTTAAGAATTCAGTCCGTACCGCGAAGAAAACACTGCACTTCACCATTACAAAGATCGACTGGTTAACGCTGTTTAAGGAAATAATCGCTGTTTACATTGAGAATCATAGTTCGTCTGATTAATATTCAAGAATTCAGTCCGTACCGCGAAGAAAACACTTCACTTCACCGTTACAAAGATTAAGTGGTTAACGCTGTTTAAGGAACCTTACGAAACACATACTTGTTGTTAAATTAGGTGGTACATATAGTTACCACTGGGCTATAAAGGTTAATGTGTATAATTTATTACCATTATCAGATTGCGGCTGTGAAATTTCCTTTTTTTTATGTTTGTCTTACGCGAAATGTTATGCAAAACTCGCAGTTTGTTGCTGTGTGCGTACGTCTGAGGTGTGAGTTACTAGCAGGTTAGAGTTTCCTCAGTACAGTCATCGGCTACGGCTGGACACCCACGCATGTTTCTTGGTAGGACAGGACTCTTCTTGCTACCACCGCCTCTGGGGCCCACCCAACCTCCTGTCCAATGGGCAGATTACTCAGCTGGAGCTGTACCTCCATTCCCCTCATCGTATTCTTGTCTTGGTGCAGAATTCTGATCCTGTTGTGGAAGTTGTCCCAGTCTCAGCGGAATGCAGCTCGCAGGTAACTCTAAGATGACGTCAGTGTGTGTCATACGCTCCGATAATAAAGACGCGCTCTTGCCCAGAAAACTCGTGTGACGTCAGCGCCAAGTTGAACTAACGAGGCTTGCTGACGAAAGCTGATCGTGGGCTACGTAATGGTTAGTTCAATGCGTCATCAGTTGGCTGGAAACAAGGAACTGGCCGACTCCGGTGCGCTCGGTTGGCCGAAAATCTTAAGCATTTTGTGGGAAACCCAAGATCCAGTCGCCGATCCTTACCCTTGTCTTGTCATCTCCCTGATGATGGAGGCAGCAAGGACCTCCGAAACGTCGGTAAACTTATACCGGACTACACGGGCTCCGTAAAAACTTTAAATCTTACCCAGTGTATCGCATTCATTTCGAGCCCGTCTTTGTTTCTTGGACATCCCTGATGGCGCATATTCCAGGCCAACAAAATTGGAATTTTTCTTAGTGAATTCTCACTCACTACAAAACGTCTCAAGTGTCGAATCCGAAACTCGGTACCAAATAGAAGGAAAGGGAATGTTGACGGAAGGGCCCGTCCAGTGGACGACGACGTCCTGGGCGCCTGAACTGCCTAATCACATAGGTGCGAGCTGACAGTTGCTCAGCTGGTCAAGGAATTTCCAGCCTTCGTCGTTAATCCCACTGTCCATTAATTACCGTGTTCACGACATCCTGCTGCTGGACCCGTCGCGAGCCAGCTGAATGTAGTGCGCGCCCTAGATTTAAGATCAGCTGTTTTTCGACCAGAACGTTTGCATTTCTCACCCCCCTTCAGGTCGTTTCGTGGCGTGTGAAAGTGATTCAGAAAATTTAGAGTCAGCTGAGGTAACGTATGGGGCGAACATCCGCCCTGGGAATTCTCGCGATTAGGCAGTCTTAAGCTTCGGGCTCCGCCCACTGCGATGGAATTCTTCCTCCTCCCCCCCCTCCTCGACCAAGCAATGAGCAATAAGCCGTCGTCAGTGCTTGTATCTCTGGCTCGCTCGGCAACTTTGTCCTTGTACATAATATCTGGTGGACTTCACCGTAGCCTCAGTTTATCCTCGGAGGAGCTGCGTGAGTGTAGCGAGTGTCTGCTTTGTTGAGTGTCGAAAGTGAATTCCAGTTTTCCTCGTGTGGACTGAAGTCCGAACGCTCCGTGTTAATGGCGGCGGCGAGCCACGTAGTTATGAACGCCTTGCCGTTCGCTGTTCATCGTGGATTTAAATTCTTGCCGGTGAGCCTCATTTCTCCTTTCACGCCCGTTCTTCAGTGGCGTTAACGGCAAACTCTAAAACAGACGCACGTTTCCTCTTGTTTTAGAGCGCGCCCTTCGTTCTCTGCGGACAGAAGGGAAGTTGTTATGAATATTGTTTCTTTCCTCTCGCGTTCAAGATGCGGCTTCATGAACGTGCAATTCTGTTCTTATCTAAATCCGCAGACGCGCCGTTGAAAAGTGTGGCACTGGAATCGCCTTATCACTCAGTTTCAGTGACGCGTTTGAGCTTATCGCCCTCTGCGTCGTCGTGGAGCGGACGGATAGTCACCTGTTCGTCAGTGTTCAGCCTCAATTGAAAGTCGATGTTAATGGGAGGGCGCCCGTTGTTTGTTTTATCTCATGAGGTGTCTGAATCAATTGAAGTCACACGAACGTAAATTTTCCCTTCTTTTTTCGCGTGTGTGTGCGTGCGGGCGCGTTGGAACGTGCGTGTGAACGAGTCACAGCCTGCGACCGCCCCGAAGAACATTTCCTTCTTTCAGTCAAATCAAGACGAGTGCTTGTCGTGTTCGCGTTGCGCGATGATACGCGATGTGTACGGCATCCCGATTATGGACCAGGCCCGAGAAGCCTTTCTCAGATCGGTTAGTAGCTTTGTTAAGGCTCCAGCGTCACTTTCGCGCGGTCTGTAAATTCTTGTAGATCGTGGGGAAAAAAGATTTAAAATTTGAGCTACTGTTCAACGCCGCAGGAGCTCAAGGCCACGTCACTGGCCCAGTGCGTGGGCACTTGATTCATGTCGCGGGGCGTACAGCTGAGCGCGAACAGAAGGTTCACTCGTGATTTATAGAGCGGTAGCGTGAAGCTGAGTCCGTCTTGCAGGGCTGCAGTGGAGACGTCTGACTTCTTCTCTTTGTTCCAGATGTCTGATTTCCCGGTAGAGAGCGCCGAGAACGGTGACATGGCAGCGGTGATTGAGAACTTCCAGAAGAAAAATGCGGCGATGCCCTCGCGACCCCAGGTCACAGGCGCATCTGCGGCACAGGTGAGTGCTCTTGTACCTGTCGGGGGCCCTTTTTGGCCCCCAGAAAGCCGAGATGTGGCCCAGAGTTGGGCATGACCTGGATCTCTGACGTCATGAGCCGGCGACTAATGAATCCCATTGTGATGATAATGTAAGCTCTGTAACTATGTGGTTCCAGGAAACCGATGTCATTGCAGGCAAAGTTTATCGGCTGTCGGCTTAAAGCAGAAAGCTGCGTTATCGCTCAGTGCGTGAGCTTAGGTCCCGTTCTGGACTCTAATCGTCAAAGAAATGGGAACTGGATTTAATTGATTCGGGATGGGGTCCAGTGGCTGGCTGTCGTGAACTCCGTAATGAACCAAGAAAGGCCAGCTGACTCGGGTGTGAAAAGGCGACGAAAACTTTCCTGGCTGACCGCGTTATTTGCGTGGCCCGTTCCTGTTGGAGTGCGGCCAAGGCATCTCTCGCGATGGCAGGCCGAAGGAAATGTTCATGTGCGTGCGTCTTGTCCCCCAGATGCTGCAAGCCAACAGCACGAGCTCCCGCGTCGCCAAATCGTCGTGTTCCTCCTCGTCCTCCCAGAGGGTGCACCACGTCACGTCCTCCAGCGAGATGAAGGCGTCGTCCATGAAGTCTGACCTGTCCGAACTGAAGTCCAGCATATCAGAGATGAAGACGTTGTCCGGTCCGATGAACTTCAGTCGCCTGCGCAGTTCCATGGAAGACCTGGATCGCGTCGACGGTAGTGGTGTTGGGTGCGTCAGTGGCTGCACGAGTCCGGAGCCCCTGGTGACTTTCCCCGACCCCGATACGCCGCCCCCACCTCCCCCGACGGCGGCGACGGGATCCGTGAGTCTGACGAGTCCGAACCTGGTGGTGAGCAGCTTGCCCTCGGTGGTCGGCCACAACTCCATGTCGACGTCCACCGCGGCCAGCTCCTCCTCCTCCTCGTCTTCGGAGACCGTGAAGTTCGAGCAGAAGCGCGTGACGTCGGCGTCGAAGACGAAGGTCGTCACAGACGGGTTCAGCTCGGAGCAGGCGATCGCCAACTCGTCGGAGATGAAGCGAGTGCACGCGGGGGAGGTGAGCTACCAGGAGAAGTCGTCGGCGGCTGCCGTCAGAGCCAGACTCGAGATGGACGGCGTATCGGCGGAGAAGGCCCTGGCACTCAAGCAGGTGAGCCCAGACTGATTTGGGTTGTTGGCGCCGTGTGGTCTGGTGGACGTTTCCCGCGGCAAGCACCTCAGAAACGTCGGTAGACTTACACGGCGCAACAGCGCGTGCGCCGGAAATCTCACTGCATTTACTGATTCCCCGACCAGAGCCAACTCGGTCGCAGAACACACGAGGTTAGTTTGTTCTCGAGCCGTTAGAAACGTCTTTCGGGCGATTTCCGCCTACACCAGCGATGACGCGAGTGATTTCCGCGGCCTCAGGCTTCATTTGTAGTCATCCGAAAGGAATTTGTGAGAAATTGTGAGCAGCAAGTAGGCCTACCTCAGCTTGATTAAATTCTGTCCTAGTGATAACGTAATCTCAGAATCCTTCTTCGAACGATACGCTTTACAAACACAAACCAAGGCGTCACACATTCCGTTTTTTTTCTTCTGACACGTGATTAGGCCTATTTATGACGCGCAACGAAATTCAGCGAAATTTATTCGTCAGACTTTAATTATTTCGATCGTCCGAGTATTTTTAATGTTTGTCCTATTTTTGGGGGGTACTCAACGAATCTGAAGGCTCAGAGACGGGAGAGAAGAAAATTCTCGTGTTCCACAAAACTCTGAATCGACGACGCGAGCCACAAGTTGCCGTAAAGTGCGTCGACATGAAATCGGCGTCGCGCAGGCTACAAAGTGGTTCAAATCCGCTGCCCCCGTAAAATTCACGACTTCGAAGAGGAAGGGGGATTTTCGAAATTATGAGTTGTTTTTTTGTTGTTTTTTTGTTATTTATTTCGTGTCTGCTGAATTGAATGGATATTGTTCGCGTCACTTTGTCTCGTTCGCCGTGGAAGCAGAATCTTTTAGCCGGATCTTTTAGCATTTGCGTTTTGTTTTTATGATCCACTCGAGATCCGCTGAACGCGTGGGCGTCGGTTAACGAGCCGTAAATGCGCCCCGCGTTTCTGTGGGAAATAAATCTGGGCCAAGGCGAAGGCCTTGCAAGCCGGCTCTACCCAGTGGGTCGAGTCAATCGATAGCAAGACGTCACGTTCCTGGACTTCTCGATTACTGCGCGTCGCCGGCTGTGCCAGTGGATTTCCCGACGCGACAGTCGACTGAACGATAAAACCGTCTCGGCGATTGAAGTGATTAATCCGGGGTCCGAAGTTCCTTTCCAGAAGCTGTTCGGCGCTTAAGGTCTTCGCCGGTGGCCTGAGACGTCAGGGCGACTGAAGAACCAACTTTTGAACAAAGAAATGTGATGCAGTGGATTTTTGTCTCGTGCTGAGTGGCTTTCGGTGGCCAACCATAAGCGTTCTCATTTTGTGACGATGTAACTAACAAATGGTTTCTGATGGGGCACTTTCTACCAAAGATTGCACGTGCGCTCCTCAGAAGGAAAAGTGTCGGAGCGCTCAGGATCACCCTGGACCAAAGCTGTGCCTCGAGTCCATGGTTGAAGGTACCGTTCGTCATGCTTTCATTGGTGGTGTGGCTCCAGAGTCGCGTAAGATCAGATGCTGTGTCTTGAAACACTTCGGCGTGCGAGTACTTGAAGGTCGTAGAATTCACCCCAAATTTTCACTTTTCATGAACTGCGCATTTGATAATTTTTCTGTGTCTGGAGACAAATCGCACCTTTCTCTGCCGTCTCGCTTATTAACAGACGCGACTGTCAGTCTGGAAACGTCGACTGCGCCGGTGAAGTGGATGGACTGGTCTTAGCGACTTAACGGAACAACCAGTGTCGGTAATTGAACCCGAAATGTGTACCCTTATTTCCGGAGAGGGGGGGGGGGTCAGCCCCCCCCCCCCCCCCGGTCAAGTATTACGGGATTTTGCGTTTAAATTCTGGTCACCGTGTTGTGGTTGGTGAAGGGTTGTCCTGCGATTAATCAGCCGCGCCGCGTGTCTGGGGAGGAGGCGTGCGGGTAGAAATAGTTTCGATTAGCCGGAGAGAGAGAGTGGGCAACTGTTAATTAGTGCGTGTTCTAAGCGTTCGCTGCAGTTACGCGTGCGAGCTGCGATAATCGAGTTTCGAAAATCCGTCAGACTGAAAACAGTTTAAATACGAAGTCGCATGCAGACATGAAGATGGCCGCACTCGAGTGGCATCAGCCAGAGGAATTCGGTTTCAGCCCGTGGCGTTTGTGTTTGTCTGAGAGTTTAATAAGTTGACTGAACGTCCGGAGCGGAGGAATTTTGTCGCCTGGCAGTGGACCTCGCCCTGTAGGGTCGAAGCTTCAATTCGGGTTCCTAATCCACTGAGTTTGCCTTGGTCCGGCGTGGATGACTTTGTTTGCTTGTTGTTACGTGGTAGGGCCCAACGGGTGGGCACACGGCCAGTTAAGGGATTACACTGGCGCGATCTTCGAGTTTAAATATAACTTGGTCCGCCGGCCATATTGTACGGAGCAGACGGGCGAAGATGTCCGGCCAAGGCGTACCGTGGCCCGTGCGTCGTGGTCTCTACCGTAATACCATCTGGTGGGAAAGAGGCAGAATCAGAGTCAAACGACACCGGGATTCATTGGTGAGTCAGAGGTTCGAATTTCAGAATTGCTTCGTTCTACAAAGCAGAATCCGGAATTAAGGGCCACCGTGGCCTTTTTTATTACGTGTGAATTTGGATTATTCGTTGCTGATAACAAACTAACTCCCTGGATGGTCCAGAGCCCTTCATAAGCTGACAGTCGCCCAGATAATTCAGAAATTCCGCGTCTTTTTTGTAACGCGAACGTGTGTTACCGCGCTCTAACAGCTCGCCACGACATCCCGGACTCATCCTTTCACCCTGCTTCAGATTTTGAACCCTTACTTTTATCCGAGTTCAGCGTCGTTTAATTTCGTGTGTCAACACCCGGTAAGCGTAAGTACGTCAGTGCTTGAAACTGTCTGCTATCCTCCTGTAATAATTAGTTTGACAATTGCTTTTTAATTATGGACCTGAGAGTGAAGTCAATGCTCACAGAGATTTCCATCGCTGTTGTGATTGGACTGCAGATCGCGTGCACGAGAGCTCGGAACAGATGATACTCGTAATAATTTTAGAGAGAAGGATGTGCTGCTGATGTTTGTATAATAGCAGATGGCTTATTTTTCAGCTGACATGAAACCTAATGGAGCATTTCAGAGATTGAGGAGGTGGAAATTGTATTTTGCTTTCTTTGTTGCAGAATACGTCACATTTGCAGCACAATTTTGCATTTACTTTTCATATTTAATAAGACCACCTTTGTAATGTTTCTAGTCCCAGCGGCCAGCGTTAACAGAGCACACGAGTAAAACCCCGGGTGTGTGGCTTTGATAAGACTGAGCTGGGCCCGGCCCTTCGGCCATGCTATTTATATTCCGCGTATGAATTCTTCCTGACCCAAAAATATACGAGCCGGGCGTGGGAGTGTTTTCTGTGAGAGGTCACCTCGCGTCCTCAGCTCTGTTCCGCTTACTCTTGGAATGTGGACCGAGCAGAGCATTTCTGAAAGACGTGATGTCGCAACTGCTCTCTTGGCGAAAGATCATATGAGACAGAATGCATGCCTGTTACATTAACAAGCTTAATCGTACTAATAACTGAGGAAAACATTGACTGACCGGTTTTGGTTTTCACAGGAGCAGAGATCACTGAAGGCAGGGGAGATCACGCAGCAAGAGAGGCAGAACATGTCGGCATCTAGCATGAAGCTCCAGACAGAAACATTCACAGCTGAAAAAGTAAGTCATTTTGATGATCTGTGGCCTTCGTCAAGTTCTAAATTTTCATTTTAAGTGGTGATGCGTCTTATGTTACCTTCTGTGGCCCATTCATGTTTCTCAGACTGCCCTTAGCATGACAGTGTTAACCGTCGTGTCTTCTGATGCAGAAAGCGATGGCAGCTCAGCAGCAGCGGCAGACCGTCACCTCAACCGGGATATTCAACCACGAGAAACACATGGCAGCATCCACTCAGTCCAACATCACCATCACAGCCAAGGGCATGTGCACAAAGTCATCCGTCGTTTCGGCAGCCTCGCAGGTACGAGCGTTCGTGTCATGATAAGTAACAGAATTGTGAATGAACGAATGAATAAGGGGCGGCAGTTAGTGACCCCAGCACCAGAAGGGTCTGTGACCTGTTTCTTGTGTTCAGACTTGCATTTTGAACGAAGTGCAACATTTCACAAGTACGTAGTGCGCTCGGCCCTCACTCATGTTAAGACGTTTGTTCTGTTGTGACAACCCTCGCAATATCCTGTCATCTGCCTCATCTGGTTCCCAATTTACTCTTAAATAGTTCCTGTGCCAGAGCAGCTCCTGGTGTTTTCTGTCCGTCCAGTCCGTGATGGTTCAGAGACGCCTCAGGCTGCAGGTGGATATTTGGGATCTTCTCTGCCAGCTGATCAGAGATTTCGTTCTCTTCAGTTCCCCCGTGCTGACGCCCTGTTTCGTTAGGGGTTCGAGGCAGTCCCCAAAGTTAAAAAATTGCATTGCTGTTTCAGTTGAGTCAGCTGATGAATGGGGCAATGAAATCATCTGAGGACGAACTACTCAACCTGGGTTTTGAAGATTTGGAACAGCTGTCGGCAAATTCCAATGCTCAAGAAGTGGAACGTGCCATTCTCAAATACACGACTTGCCTAGACTCATTCATAAAGAGCTTGAAACGCAGTGACGGCGGATCTGAGCCTAAGCCGACCAAAGTGCCTCAAGTACTGAACCGCATCAATGAGATGATGCGCAAAGCCTGGGCAGTCCCTACGCATGGCCACACGTTAGGTTACTCCTTATGCAACGCCCTGCGTAAGTGCGGCGGACTCGATCTCCTGATGACAAACTGCCTCTACGAAGACGGGGAGCTCCAGTTCTCGAGTGCTCGGCTTTTGGAACAGTGTCTCACTACTGAGAATCGTGCGCACGTCGTTGAACACGGGCTGGACACAGTCGTGAAGGTAGCATGTGTTTGTTGTACAAAGAATGCTAACTCGGTTGATCACTCGCGCGCGGGCACTGGAATACTAGAACATCTCTTCAAGCACACCGAAGGGACGTGTAGTGATGTGGTACGTTTAGGAGGTCTTGATGCTGTGTTGTTTGAATGCAGAAAGAATGATGTGGAGACTCTCCGCCACTGTGCGGGGGCTCTCGCCAATCTGTCTCTGTACGGAGGTGCAGAGAACCAAGAGGCGATGATCAAGCGGAAGGTTCCGATGTGGCTTTTCCCGCTGGCGTTCCACGACGATGATAACATCAAGTATTATGCTTGTTTGGCCATCGCCGTCCTGGTAGCAAACAAAGAGATCGAGGCAGCCGTACTCAAGTCGGGGACATTGGACCTGGTGGAGCCTTTCGTGACCTCCCACAATCCGTCGGACTTCGCGAGGTCGAACTTGGCCCACGCTCATGGACAGAGCAAAAACTGGCTGCAGAGACTTGTGCCAGTTCTGAGTTCCAAGAGAGAGGAAGCACGCAACCTCGCCGCATTCCACTTCTGCATGGAAGCGGGAATCAAGAAACAGCAGGGAAAGACTGAGATCTTTGGTGAAATTGGAGCCATAGAACCTCTGAAGAAGGTCGCCAGCTGCCCCAACGCCGTTGCCTCCAAGTACGCGGCTCAGGCGCTGCGGCTTATCGGGGAAGAAGTGCCGCACAAGCTGAGCCAGCAGGTGCCACTCTGGTCCACTGAAGATGTTAGAGAATGGGTTAAACAGGTAAGAGTTCTTCAAATGCTTACTTACTTTAAAAGGTCACTTTATATGTGACATCAGCGATCATTTATGTTCCCTTCTTGTAGATTGGATTTGCTGAGTATGCCAATAACTTTGTGGACAGTCGCGTAGATGGTGACCTCCTGCTACAGCTTACCGAGGAGAATCTGAAAGACGACATCGGTATCACAAATGGCATTCGCCGAAGAAGGTAATTCTGTGTTTGCGGCATTGAAAGGCTTTGCTTCATTTAATGATATTCAGAGTAGTTTTTACTTTGTGCACTTCGTGTTTGCATACAGAAATATACATATTTTTTTGCCACCAGGTTCACCAGAGAGTTGCAGAACTTGAAGAAGATGGCTGATTACAGCAGTCGTGACACTGGTAACCTGAACGCATTCCTACAGGGCATTGGTGCAGAATTCTCCATTTATACATACTCCATGCTGAATGCTGGGGTGGACAAGGACTCTATTCGAAATCTTTCTGAAGATCAGTTGACGAATGAATGTGGCATCTGCAATAGCATTCATAGACTCAGGATATTAGACTCCATAAAAAGTAAATGTGAGAGACTTTATATTTGCTGCGTACTCCACTTATTCTGTTTTACCCAAAAGGAAATGGACTCAGTTTGATCGTCTTGTTTCAGATTTGGAGAATGGCCTTTCAAACTCTTGTGAGGAGAGCTTGGATAAATCGTTAGACGTGTTTGTCAGCTATAGGAGGTCAAACGGGTCGCAACTGGCAAGGTACATCAATGCTTCTGAGAAGTTACTAGTTGTTCAGTATAATTGAGAAATTACCTGACGTTTATAAAATCTGAAGGTTCATCACCATGTTCACAAGAGCCTTCAATTGGACGTAAGCCAGTTGAATCCAGTCCACACATCATATTATCTATAGATCCATCTTAATATTATCCTCTCATTTCTCATCTCTCCTTTTTGTGCTAGATTCCCTGCTTACCTCTTCTTCCGTGCCTCATCTCCAAATAAAGTTGAGTGAAATGCTACTGATCAGTCAAAGTAATAATATGAAAAAATTTCTAATGTAATACTTTAATTACCTTCCACGTTTATTACAAATCATTTTGCTCATTATGCAACAGAAATTTATGTAATATGCTTATGCAGTAGAATTCTTGAAGATTGTTTTCTCCGTACAGTTTGCTCAAAGTTCACTTGCACCTGAGGACATTTTCTGTGTTCATCGATGTGGAAAGGCTGGAAGCCGGCAAGTTTGACAACAATCTGCTGCAGAGCATCAGACAGGCCCGACACTTCCTCCTCGTGCTCACGCCCAATGCTTTAGATCGTTGCATCGGTGATGTGGAGTGTAAAGACTGGGTTCACAGGGTGAGCTTAATCAGGATATCAATTTTGGTAGTTTTACTACGAGCAAAAGATCTGGAATTTGTGGCAACCCAAAGAATCAGAACCCTTTCATAACTGATACGTCATTTATAGTGGATTATGTTCACTGCAGGAAATTGTGGCAGCCCTGCAATCAAACTGCAACATCATTCCAATCATTGACAATTTCCAGTGGCCAGAACCAGAGGAACTTCCTGAAGACATGCGGGCAGTTTGTCACTTCAATGGCGTCAGGTTTGTCGCAGACATTTTACGTGGCTTAACCTCTTTTTGGCCACGAACTATAAGAACTAGGCTGATCTAATCGCCATGTGCGACTCGCATAGTAATCATAGTATTTGTAGATGTGCCACTTAGATTTCTTATTAAGAACGATTCAAAATATTTCTTACAGGTGGATCCATGACTATCAGGATGCGTGCGTGGACAAGCTGGAGCGATTCATGCGTGGTGAACTGAATGTGCGTTCAGATGGCCCATTAGGGCGTGTAGCACTGAATAAAGGTGATGCCACACCGGGGACCCCGTCTGGGAATACTTTGGGCCGTCAGCCACCCAATTATCAGCGCATGCACAGCAATGAGAGCGGAAAGGGTAGCGACAAGGATGTCAATGGCAACTCGGGAGGGGGGAGGGACTGACTAGATGGCCCCGCCGCCTCAGCCAAACACTCCAGGTCAGTTAGTCTCTTGTTGATTATGTGAGGATGTGGTGCTTTCTCTGTGACTAACCGCTGCAGTGTTGTGAAGAAAAAGAAGCTAACCAACCATCTCTCACAGCCTTAACTAATGTGGAGACGTTGCAGACATACATAATTGGAGCTTTTGATCTTCTCTCCAGTTGCATGAAGTACAATCTGCCTTTTAACAGAATCCTAATCAGCTAAATTATGTGCGAGATACCATTTATGCTTCAAGGAAAAGTACCTGCACTTGAATTGACATGTGAACCACTTCCTTAGGACCCAGAATATTTTTAATACGCCCTGCATGACATTATGAGCGCAAGTGTGATGGTGCTAACATTTCTGTGATCAACCGCTGAAGCTTTACTAACTCTTTGTGCTGTGGTAATTCTTTTATAAATAATTACCAGCTGATATGTTACCAAGATTATGGTCTTTTATAAATGCAACACGCTACCAGAAGAATATTCCTAAATTCTGAATTGCATCTGCCAAATACAGGATAAACTAACAACAGACGTAGTGTAATCGTGATGTTTGCTAAAATCTTTGGATGGAAACTTCTTGTATAAGAACACGATTATTGATAAACTATAACTGCCGCAGGCTACGAAAATCTTCCAGTCCGTCCCGCCCGTGGCTAATGGGAAGTACAGGCCACTGCCTACATAGTTCTAGTCGACGTCCACCCACGAGCCCGCAGAGTCGGCTCCGTTCTTTGGCCCGGTGCCCTGCCAACCCCAGCCCGGCAGCTCGCACCCGTCGTAGCTCTGGGGTCCCTCCACCTCACTTGCCTGCTCAACAGCTCTCCACGAGGTCTCGTAGCCTCGACGGCCTGTTGGACGAATCGACGCCGGAACCGCCGAGCCCGAC